TACTTTCTTCACGTCTTCTGGAGAGGTTATCTCAGGTAGCAGCCTGCCCAGAGGGATGTCAGCGTGGGACAGGCAAAGCTGCTGAGCCCTACTAAGACAAAGACAGTTCTGGACACAAGCTGAAACAGAACGTTAAGCATCAGGGAAACATCCCTATCAAAACCATGGCCATTATGAGCTTTAGGCTTGCAATTCTCACTGTGCTGCCAGGATTTAAGTACTTGCATTTCACCTCAATGTCCTAAAGCACTGGGGGGCTGTGTTTTAATTTCAAATTTCCCTTTAAAATCTCCCTGCCTTGCCAAGGTGGCCTAAGGACAAATCCATTAATGCATGTGATATGCAGGTACATTTACATTATGGGAGTTATGTAAGCAGGTAAACCTCATCAATAATTAAAGGCTCTGTGGGTAAAGTAAGATCTGACCATTTTCTTCTTCTAGCTTCTCAGGGTTTCTGTGCAAGTCACGCAGCCCATATGCTTTTCTTGTGGATAATTTTAAGGGATGACATTTTAAGGGATGATGGTTCCAATTCTTCCGTCTACAGAAGGTTGTGTGAGCCCCTCTCTTTTGTTTCTCGTAGAAACAAGCTAGAGGAATTAACAATGTAAAACAGGAGTTAGTAAGGGAAGGATCAAGCTCTCTAGTTCTGTTTTGATGCCAATCTGTACAAGGTGTAATAAAATCAATAGTTTCTCTTGCTGAAAGGTTTCTTTCTATCTACAGCAGTGACAAGAATATAGTGGGCGAAGAGCTCTATTAGCTGTTCTTTAGGAATCAATCACACTAAAAGCAATAGCCAGTATGACAACAACTGCACAATGGACTATTAATTTATTGACACCAATATCCTGAACTTCAGAGAAGAGGGATACTTTTAAAGAGATAGGAAATAAAATGTCTGTTTCTGTAAAAATCAAGAGAATACTAAGCATTTGTTACTAATGATGCAGAAACAAAAAAGCTTACACCTTTAAGGGGTAAAATACCAACACACAAATTTAGTCCACCTGAAAAAGAACAGCATCCACAGCCTCACAGGCCACTGATCTCAGTATCTGGTGAAAGACGTGAGCTGATCCAGCACAGAGCCGTTGGCTTGCACCAGCTGAGAACCAGCTGCATTCTGCCTCCGTGGTGCACCTAGAAACAAGATGCATCATAAAGATGTAATTGGCAATTACAAGGTCACATTAAATGGTATGCAGTGAGCTATTTAAATACATCAGAAGCATGTATAACAGGAGCGAAAAATCAAACTATATCAGGTAAAAGGCCATATTCATGCATAAGTAATGAGGGGAAAATAGAATGAACCAGTTTGTTCTATTGTATCACATTGAAATTTCCGTACCGTCTCAGTAGTGTGGAAGAGCAAATGAAAGCCAGAGCAAAGAAAGGAACTGTGTTTGGAGAATTACTCCTTGCTGACACTGGGTGAGCATATTGTGGCTCAATGGCGAGCATGCAAGCATGATCAAGACCAACTCTGGTTAACATGCCCTGACTTCTGTCTGAGTGCAGAGGTTTTTTGAGATACTACGGCTAAGGAACACCATCACTCACTTTGAGAAAAAGGAACAGGCAATAGATGCATGTTGGAGCTACAGATAGAATGACGCTGTAAATGTGGACAGCAGACTGTACTCTGTCTTTTCATGCTGTCATCTTTCTTTTGTTGATGTCTCTGTTTTAAGATCAGTTTGCTCCATGCATCACCAATTGTCTTTTGTTTTCTCGCAGCAGGGAAGGCTTGGTTAATCCATATGTCATGACAAAAAATGCAGGCTTCTCTTTGATAGGAACCAAGCATGACAGCAATCTATTGAAAAGGTGTTTGGGACTATCATTTCTTCCAAGCTAATTTATTGACTGGATGGCTTTCAAAAATAATAGTTCTCTTTCCCAAGACAATGAGCTGAGATGTGACTCATGAAGTCCACATGAGCACACAGACAGGCTAATTACGAGAAATAAACTAATAATGAACTATCAGTCTCTAGAAATCAGTATCTGTTGTGACAGACCAGTCTAAACTTCAGAGAATGTGAATGTTTCCACCTGTGCCCTACTGCAATGATTTTGTTTTATTAGCCTTAGATATGTAAAACAAATTTCTTACTATTAAGCCTTAGATAGACCAGGATGCTAAGAAAGTACCTGATCTGTGGAGGCGGGGGATGACAGTTTAGCTGAGCAAACTCCAGTTCTAGCACGTAGTTATATGGGGCAAATGCTATCCCGCTAACATTTAGTCAGGGTTCCAGAATCCAGAGATTTATACATCAGAGGTGGCAAAGTGAAGCATCCGTGAAAATAACACAAATAACAACTTTAACACATCCCACTGACCAACCTTTTTTTTTTCCCAGTGTATTTCACTTTAAGTATATATACCACAGTGTAACTATACAAACCATGTATCTTTCCTGTAGCATTTGTGGAATAATTTTAACAATTTTAAACAAAGAGTTTCTGTCACTCATTCTCCCATTTCTAGGACAGGTGATGGACAGGACACAGCCACACTGTGATTGTAGAAAAGGCATACTAAAGAAATGTGGCACACTTAGGAAACGTGAATTGTTCTCACACAATGAAACTTCTTCTTCTAACAAACAAAATGCCCCTAATCTTATCATCCAGAAAAAGGGACTATGCCCAAATTCTGCTGAAGCTGTAAGAAAGACTGCCACTGCCTAGTCCAGCCAATTTTTGACTCCCAGGCTCCAGAGGAAATTTTCATACAGCAAAGAGCTTTTCTGGCACCTTTACAACATACCAGAAAACGAGTACTGAAGAAAACCTTCACAATGTTCTCCTCCCTTTCGGTGTAAACCCAATGGGACTTTTTATGATTACTGACTACTTATGCTCGCTCCGGAGTAATCAGCTATAAAAACAGTCGAACAGTAGAAAATTCTGGGCCATTGTGTGTTCATGACTCTTTTAAGGCTAGCACTTTTAAGGCTGACCCTGAATCATCCTGACCTTTACTTAGCTGTTGAAACGCCTATGCCTTATGTTACCAAGGAAAGAAACTGCTGCCTTAAAATGTTCTTGACCTTGTTCAGCACATTCCTCATGCCGTAACTGACTTGCTTTTAGTTGCCAATAAAGCACAATGAGTTTAGAGATGACAAACGAAGGTTGCAGAAGTGGCATTCCAGGAGCATTTATAATTTACTCTAAGAATGAAGAGCTCCCTTCTAGCACTGTGAACTCCAGACCGCTGTGGATGCTCTGTCTTTTGCTTATATTTCTGTGAATTATTATGTGATTTCTACAAACACACTTCAGCATATTGTACTTACATCAACACTTACTAATGCTTAGCAAAACTTTTGACAAATACGGTCTGTTCTGGGTATGTACAAACCGTGAAAATAATATGGAGCTACAGAGTCATTATTATTTTCTAAGCCCTGTTTTCTCTTTAGCACAACAGATGTCCATTGAAAAGAAAAATATGTTTCCAATGCTTTTAAAATTACGGGGATTTTTCCTCCACAAACATTTCCTAGAAAAGCTGTTCCTGAGAAATGTGAGTGACCAAAAGCCCTGTTTGGAGCTGCCCTGGTGACCCCACCATGTAGACAGATTTCCACCTTCCTCTCTATTTAGGGCCCTGAACAAGGCCTCCAGTTTGAGCAGTTCCCGGTAAATGTGGGACTGCGCAGTAGTAAAATGTCCATTCAGCAGAAATGAACAGATGCATTTTTACTTGTGAAATAAAACCTGGATGTTAAGGGGTGAAATTCTGAGACATAAATAATCCCATGGTGCCACAGGAACTCTGTTACATAGGTTTTAAACCAATTTGCCATAAATATTTGTGCACAAGCCAAAAAAGCAGTCCAAGTATACTAAATTGATACCTAGTAGGTCATTTCTAACTAGTGCAGGACAGACAGTTACCTGTTGGCTTCAATTAAGCTTTGCAAAACCACCCTTGTGTCATGGTGTACTGTGAGGAAAAAACAACAAGGCAACGTAATTCACTTACAATGCAGACTTTGGGCTGTGTGAAATCAAGTTTGCACTGAAAATAAGCAACTCACTAGTACCCTGAGAACAGCGGGTCAATGAAAAGCAGGACAAAGTGAAGAAGGTGGCAAAAAGAAGGGAATTCGAAAGTTTTGTAAGACCTCAGTTTCCGTCAGATGGGTACAAGCACTTTATGACTTGTTTCCACTGAAACTGGAAGGTAATAAATCCAATGACATTAAAAGTAATAAACCTAATAATATCAAAGTAATAAACCTAATAATATCAAGGTAATAAACACAGGCTATTATCATCTCACTTGGCACTTCGTTAGCATGCTCACTGTGCAAAGGTGGCCTTAAAGTTCTGGAAAAGTTTTCCTGAATGTTGTCAGCAATTTATAGACAAAAATAAAATAAATAAATAAATAAAAAATCATTGCCGTCAAATAATTTTTCCATTATATTAATGTCTAGGGATACCCACGGAGTCAAAATCAGTTGTGAAAAAACATACAGCGAGAGATTAAATTTAAGCAAAAGACTATCCCTAATTCACAGAGAAGGAAAAGGCAATATGTGACCTGTCCCAAGCCAAGCAGAAGCAGAGGAAGGACACAGTTGTCTTCGGGCTCATGCCTGTGCCCTAGGCACAAGTATACTACAATGCAATGATCTTTTTTTTCTTTTTTAAGACAGTAAAAGGCATGTAACTAACACATGAAGGTGTATCAGCTGATGGAAAGTTTAGATGACCATTAAACGTTCAGTTACAGTTTCTTATTTAGTGACATGGCGAACATCCTTGAACACTGTGATGAAATCTCCACCAACTGGGGAAGGATTTTTTTTAATTTCCTATTCACCGTTTCTTTTTTGACTCTGAAATAAAACCGGGACACACGTGGATGGGTGGCCCCAACTAGCTTTTCTTTCGCTTGGACAGAGTCTGCTCTCCAGGGAAGCGGGAGAAGAGTGTCAGTGTGGCATCCGCTGCCTCGTGGAGGGCGAGATGCTGCTGCTCCAGGTAGCCAACCGCTTCAGCCAAACGGCCCGTGTGAAATGTCGGAACCTGCCCAACACAGATAGTGAAAAGATGGTAATAAACAAAAATCCCGCTTATTTACATGTGTACCAAACTGAAGACAGCAGGCCCTGATGACGCCACACTGATTACTGAACTAGTGGAAGCTGTCCCTGCTGATGGCAGGGGGGCTGGAACCAGATGATCTTTAAGGCCCCTTCCAACCCAAACCATTCTATGAATCTATGATTCTATACTTCACCTCCAAACCCACCGGCCAGCTCAACCCAGCAGAAAGCAGATGTACCTGTTAACGCAGAGCTTTCACCAAGGCAGCTACCGACGGACTGGAGCGGTGCAGAGCAGCAGCAACACCACCTCAGAGCACCTCGTGGGGTCTTTCCCATGAGACGGACATGGAACTGCGCCGTGCAGCGGGCGTGAGGAGAGGGCAATGGGAAACCCCAACAACGCATAGCCGTCCTGCACCAGGCACAACCCGCCCCGCGAGCAGCAGCCAAGCAGCCTCGTGCGTCCCCGTGGAAGCAATACGCTGCCCTAGGCAGCTCTGTCACCAGGGCTTTCCGTCAGCAGGTCGGAATATCTGGGAGATTCGGGGTTTCGTTCCCTCGCCGCAGGCAGCGGCCGGAGAACACGAGGAAGAACTTCTTCACTCTGAGGGTGACGGAGCACTGGAACAGGCTGCCCAGGGAGGTTGTGAAGTCTCCTTCTCTGGAGATATTCAAGACCCACCTGGACA